ACAATATTTTAAGAAATTATGTAAATTGCGTAAAACTGACTCAATGAAAAAAAATTATGACAGGTTTTTACAAAAAGGATTTTTGTAATATTTTTTACTAACCTGTAAGTATAAATGTAACTGCCAGACATTCTCACACAATTTAAACACACTATTAACTATTATTAGCATCAACACAAAAAGTTAACACTAACTGTTAATTTTTGAGTAATCAATCATCATATACATTTTTATGACTAAAACACAGTAAAAGGTTATTAAAAATAGTGTTTTGCTGATTTTAAATCCCTCATTAACAATGTATACAAAAATATATAGGTTCAAAACTACATTTAAACAGCCCTGAACATTTGCCACTTTCAAATGAAAAGATCAGAAAAAACTAGAGACAGAAAACATATTGACCCTTTTTTATATGTTATCATCAGAGATTTTATATTGGATTTATATTTAGTAACCATGAGTTATATGCATGCACTCCTAGTTTCATCTATCAGGCTACTCCTGTTATAAGACTTAACTAAGTTCATCACTGAGAACAAAGATTCACAAGCATATGGAGAGGGAAAACATGGATAGTAATGCTGTTGCAAGGTTTTTTAAACAGACAAAATTTTCTGGAATGATATTCTAATTCCTTAATACTTTGTTTTCCACATTTCTCTCTGATACTCCCAACTCAAATTGCTCCTCTTCAATATTTTCCAAGTCAACTCTTAGGTCAACAAACTTCTGCTTCCAAATTGAGTTACTCTAAAATTCAATCAATTGCATTTAAAAATCATCCATGTCTATCTATGAAAACATTTGCAAGTTTACTTCATCTAATTTGATAGTGTCTGGAAACTTAATGAATTTTTCTGTCTCTTTCAGTTTTCTGAATTTATCAAATATTGCAAAGAACTGCTCAACAGTGGTTTTAATGGTGTTTACAAACAGCATTTGAAGACATTGGCAGTTTATTCTGTCATCTTTTGGGAGATCATTTATTTACCACTTTAGGTTTGGGAAGTAATTAAATCTCTCATTATCTACATCCTTTTTTAAAATTCTAGTTTTATTTGAAAAGCCTTTATGTAACTAGACATAACATCAAGTGTCTTACCAGAGCTCAGTAATTTAAATTTCAAGTCATTCAAATGTTCACAAAAATCTGCAAAAAGCATCAATTTACAAACCCACATGATGTCAGACAATTCTTGGTAAGACACTTGTTGGTCATTCAAAAAGAGCTTTATCTCATCTAAATAATCAACAAATCATTTCAGAATGAAACCTCAGCTAAGCCAACAAACATTGTTGTACATTTTCAGTCTTTTATATACAGATTCTAGCTCATTCAATAAAATTTGAAATTGTCTTTTATTTAAAGTCTGAGCAGAAATGTAATTAACAACCATGGTAACTGTTTGCATCACTTCTTAAAGTTCCTTTAGGCCATTTTTGCACACAAAGCCTCCTCTGAGGTAATGAAAACCTATCAGTAGATGACCAACATTTTTTGCAAACAGATTTACAGATTCTGCTTTTTTATCAGTCATGCTGGGGGCATTATCTGTTGTGGCAGATACTACTTTTGAAATTTGAATTTATCCAGTAGATAATTCATTCACAACTGCTTTATATATTTCAGCCCTTTGTTAGTGTTACAAGGGCAACCATCTCTTCACATACTTCATCACCACTACTAAATTGAGAAAATATGGCTAGACAAGCTGATGATGTAATGCCTGTACTTTTACAAATACAAATAGAAAAAACTTTGTCAATTGTTAAGCTGTATTCCTTTCCAACTTAAATATCCTATCCTTAACTGTTTTTCTACTTACAGACAAATCTTTCATGCACTGAATAATCTTTTATTTTCTGAAAAATTGTCAAAAAGAAAAGGCGCACATTCTAGCCAAGCATCTTTAATATACTCCCCATTACTGAGTGGCTTTCCATGTTGGGCAATAACTTTTAAAACCTTGAAACTAGCAGCAACTAAGTTGGAATTGAGTCTACCTGAAATAAATTTCTGTTGTGGATTGCGAGATGAAATTCAGTCTCCAATGAATGACAAACACAGGAATTAAATATAAGAAATAAAATGCATTTACACAATAATACAAAGGGTAATACTGTTAGTAAATCCAGGAACATGGTTAGTAGCAAATACAGATAGATATATACAGTCTCGAAGTAGGACTTCCTTAGAGTCTACGTGCTTGTAACTGACTTCTACAAGCGGTTACCTCACACTATTACTCTACTTCCAACTCAATCACAATCTCAGTCTTCCTACTCTCTCAATCTCCACTTATATGAAAAAGGGGAGGACCTCATAACAATTTCATAAAAGTATCAGCCTGTTTTTTGTCTTGCTCAGTTCACAAGAAATAAATTCTCTTTGTTCTTCCTCAGTTCTCTTTCCAGACAAAGTCTTACAAACGATTGTTTCTGAACAGAAAAGGGATAAAGCTTTATTATCTTTCTTAATCATGCTAAATTTTTCAGTCCAATAATCTTTAAATTCTCTAATATCTTCTTCATTTGAATGACATTGTTTCTTAGCTGATAGATGTGACATTCTGCCCAATTTGTAAAGGGCAGAAAATAAAAGTACATGAGATAATAATATACATGAAAGAGGAGAAAGAATAAAAGTAAATCAAAAAGGAAATAAGTTTCATGTGCCAGAAGCAAGTCATATTTGGCAAGCATGCCAAGGGTTGCCCATCACTGTGCTAGGGGTTAATGAATGTTATAGAATATGAGAAAGAAAAAACAAAATAAAGAATAAAGAAAGAATAATAAAAGAATAGGAAATAAGAATAAAGATAATAATTGACATTGCATTTAAATCTTTTGAAGATCAAAGTTGATTGGAAAGAAGGAAGGCAGAAGAGAGTTCCACAAGTGAGAAGTGTGAGAGAAGAAACTCTTAGCATAGAACTTATGGTTGCATTTAACTATTCCATATGTAAAATGATGAGACCTTGTTGCCAATTTAGTATGGCACTTAAATTCATAAAGTCTAGGTACTATAGAGGAAAGTTCATCGGAACAATTATCATGAAAATATTTATAGAAAAGGCATAGGGAAGCTATGTTACAGTGGGGAAGTGACTGAAGTCAAGATGCCAGGCCAGGAATGATAACATTGCAGATTCTTCTTTAGTAAACCCAAAAATAACAATAAAATTAGGCATGTAATATTACCTTAAAATACCCTCATAAGGAAAGCTTTTACAATTGATCACCCCACAAGTTAATGTTTCTCACCCTTCAACTTATAGAAAATAACTAAAATCAAGGTTTCATTTTTAACACAAAGTAAGAAATAAACTTGAGAATTTGCTAAACATGACCAAACTCGTCTAAAATTAAATGGTATTAATAAAATAAACAAAAGTATAAGGAAAATATCAAACTCCTTTTAATGACAATGATCTGAATGATCAGCATGTTAATGCCATATTTATACCATTTATACTATATTTATATCAATTATATTTCTAATATACTGTGTTAGAAATTCACAGTGTTGAAATAATGCCGTATTCATGATTGTTAAAAATGATGAAAAACTGTGGAAGAATGCCATTGAGAATTTTAAAATAATTTTTTTTAATCATTTCACCACAAGCAAAATAATAATGCCACTAAGAAGCAGGGGGTTTACAGGGAGTGAAAGAGATGAGAAAACTTTACTGAAGAGAAAGAGAAAAAGGACAAGAAAAAAAGGAGCCAGAAACCACATCCAGTTTTGTAAATAAGAAGGAAAAAATCAGTTAAAATTCATATCCTTTATCTAATCTCTAACTTTAATTAAATATGAATATGGACATTGACACAAATTATAGGGAAGTTTTCTATTTTATAGAAATAAATTTTCCAAGAAATGTTAGATCTCTTGCAAAAAAATGACTATGTTTTTAAAAAATCAAATTCCCCTCTGCCAAGCAAGGCAGAAAAGGGGTTACTAAGGCTAAGGGTTTACTGGGTATGAAAGAATTAGAAAACAGAAACATTACTAAAGAGTGGTAGTTCACCAGAGCTGAAAGAGAGTTCCACAAGTAAGAAGTGTAAGAAAAGAAACTCTAGCCATAAAGCTTACGGTTACATCGTGCCAATTCAACTAGACTTTATTGCCAATCTAGTATTGTGCTTAAATTCATAAAGTTTAGGTACCATAGGGAAGAGCTTATCAAACTATTAGCATGAAAGAAAAGAAGTGTTACAGGGAAGCAACTTTATGGTGGTGGGAAAGTGACTGAAGCCAAGACTCCAGGTCAGGACCAGTAATATTGCTGATTATCCTTTGGATTTTATCAAGAATCTCTAAATATATAGTAGGAGCATCAGACAAAATATGGCAGTAATATTCTAAGCATGGAGGAATGGGAGACTTATAGATATGAAAAATAGATTCTGGAGAGAAAAATTGTCTAGCACTGTGTTAGTAAACCAACTTTCTTAGCAGCTGACCTAGCAATGGGTTCAATATAGTCTTACCATTTCATGTCGGCCAAGGATGTTAATCTAAGAAGGTGCAACGAGTCCATCTCCTGGAGGTTAGCATCAACCATGGAAGGTAGAAAGGGGGCACTCAAATAATTAAAAGAGAGCAGTTTAGTTTTAGAGGCGTTAAAATTAACCATCTATTCTTTGCCCCACTTAACAACAGACTGTTGTTTGTGAGATTAGTCACCTTATTGAGACAGGAGTAAATGGTTGTGACATCAACAAAGATACCAATTTGAGAGATGTCATCAGGAAGGTCATTAATGAAAATTAAAAACAAAGTAGGACCAAGGATGGAGCCTTGGGATACACCTGCATTAATACAGAAGGATCTAGAAGAGTGGCCATTCAGGACAAATTCAAGAACACAATAACTATGTAACTGAGACAGTAATATTTTTATATAGCATCTTATCAGCAAATTATCTACTTTATAATTGATTCTTTCAATGCCTTCATTACCCTTGTCATGCCTTCAAAGAACAAAGGCTTACAGTCATATCACATTGAAACACCAGTTCTCGTACAATCACTGAAGTTAAGCAACATAGTGTCTGGTCAGTACCTAGATGGGTGACTGCTTAAGAACACCAGGTAAGCTTGGATGTGCAGTTAGTGTAATAGATAACGGCTCAGAATTGGAAATCGAGGAACTGAGTTCCAATTCCAGTTGCATTTTTTTATATTCACTAAACACATGAATACCATTGAGAAAGTCATGAATTCACATCTACTCCCAGCTATGGGTTAATTAGTAGGACTACAAAATGTTTCTTACAATCTAAAAATATTTTCTGGCTTTAAATAACCTACAAAGGGTTGATAAGCCATAAAAACAATCAATCAAAAAATTCAAAGAATAAATTCATTATGTGTGTAATGGACTTACGCATGATGATCCTGTCTCAACTGATCTTCGTAATGAAACACCAAGTAATCTTTCTCCAGACATTTGTGGTTTGTGGCAAGCACTCATAATTCTGTTTGAACAAGGAGAGTAGGCAGTGAGAAGTTTGATTTTTGGAGAAATGGAAAATCTTATTTCTGTTCACTTGGCATCTCTGTAAGTTAGACCTCCTAACTTAGCAGTGAGTGTGACTGCCAATACCGACTGAGATAAATTCTAACAAACAAAATCCAACTCAGCAATTCTCACAAGCCAGTGGGATGAACATTCCTCCAGCCTCTATAAATTATTTTCAATGACTATCATGGCATACTATACTCCAGGCCTGCTTATGCTATGGTGCATCTGAGAGCTAGAACTAAAGGCCTATTGAAAAATGTTTGATTTTCATAAATTTTCAAAGAAAATTAACTATTTTTGAAAATACTTAGAATAACATTTTGATCCATATTTGGGGATAATAGGATGTGCTGAAAGTTAAATAAATGAAAATATATATTTTTGTTGTGGGCACTGATAAGTATTAAACAAAACAACAAGGTAGTTAAGATTTCTGATAAAAGATATGATCCACATAATGTTGAAACAGAAACATTCATACTATTTACAAGTCTCACTGAACCCTTTATTCAATCTACCCCCCCGGGGATTGAATAAAGAGTTTTCCATTAAAGTTACCAGGTTCAATAAGCAGTATCTGAAGAAGGCTGGAGGGCATCAGCCGAAATGTCTTTATGACAATCAATCATCTCAGAAATATAAACAGATCAAGACAAAATCGTTCTAGGAAAGTTTCAAAACCTTTAAAGTTGGTTCTTTATCTGATTTGGATGTGTAATGTTTGCAAAAGTATGAGCATATTTTCTCTCCATGTTGAAAAAGTGAAACTTAGAAATAAGCATGAAAATGTTACTTAATGATTTCTATCATACCTTTTCCTTTATTGTATGGAAAAGGATGAAACAAAAAAATAACCATTGGCAAGTCTGATCAGAAGGAATCTTTAATTTTCTGTGGTCAATTGAATTGGTATATTTTCCATACTTTTCATAATAGAAATGTGTTTCATATTCTCTGAGTTGATTATTATTTCTTGTAATATATCCACCTATGTATATGAAAGCCATTTTTATTTCATCAGAAAGATGGTTCTAAATTTTCCAGATTGTCAAATATTTCTGAACCTTCTTCACAAAGTTTATAATCACAAGATGTACATTGGTGACCTAGCTTAACATCAAAAGCATCAATATTTACATTCTGATTTAAAAGTAAAGATGTCTGCTTAATATGCAGCTTTTCAATACACTGTTGGACATATGTAAAATAGGTGCCACCTGATCTTTAACAAAGTTTACTAAATACTTTTTCTAACAGATCAGTTGTAAATTGCCCAAGTAGCACATATTTACGGCTTGTAGCTAAAAGGTATCGACACAGACTAACAATTCCATTGCAAGTATGGTGTATGCTCCTAGCAGTGTGTTTAGATAATTGTTTTATATGATTACATAGACTGGCAGCCATATTAAAAGCCATTTGACCAAACTCAATGATAAAATCAAGTCAGTTATCATACGGAAATCTGATTTCAGCTTGTAGAGGGTCATTGTGTAGTTTATTGATTTGAAGGGTCTTAACATTTAAAATTCTCCACCATGTTAAAATTTTGTTTATGATGATGGCAGTATCTTTCTTATCCACACTTATTCCAGATTGAGGGAGAAATGCATTATAAGTTTTTTTCTGAAAACACTCTGAGGCAAGTACAAACCCGTTGTCTTTGGAGCAATGAAAATTTTATTTAAATCGGAGATTTTAAATAGTCTTTCAGATTCAAAACGATGTAACTGTTTAAGATGTGTCCATTTGCAGCACATTTTACTCCATTATCATAAAAAATTACTTCTGTTAGCCAAAATTTGTGAATATTTTCAACAGATTAACATAGTCAAAAAGCAAATGTTTATTATCTTCAGTGAACCAAGGTTTTTCAGGGAGTGTAGGATATAATTTCAAAAAAGCTTGATTTACTCAGTTGCCATCATATATGATATCCTTTACATCAGCTGGTACAGATGTGATGGCCTGAACTGTTAACTCAAATTGTTCAAATAAAAAAAATGCTGATACTAATTCTGAAATTGGAATCAATTTTGTAAGAAATTTTAGATCCCTATTAAAACATATCAACATTATACCAAGTACTGTTTGAGGCAGATTGTCAACTGACTTACCAAATAGTTGTTTTTCATGATATAGTAACATTTTCTTTATATATATTACATCATGGAGAATTATGCACCCTTTTTGACTGGCATTAAAAGTATTAAGTACAAATAGTAAAAAAGATTTTCCATTAAGTTTTGAAACTTTTGATATCATTCTTCTTAATGTTACTAGTGATGTTAATTGAAAATCCTGTCTTAATCTATTATACAATGACCGTGATGTTGTATAGTACTCAAAAGCATATATTACTATATCTGAGCTGTATTTCATTCCAACTATTTTGGAGGCCATTGCTGAAAAGTGCTGACTCAAGATATCCTTCTTATGATCAAAAGCTATAGAATTTAAGTATCAGATAATTTCTTCCAATGTTGATCAAATATCAACTGTATTTATACAGTTTTTGGACAGGCTGCTAATATAATACTTAACTCTATAATGAAAATTTTCAAACTGCAAATTTTTATAAATTCTCAACATAAATAGAGGACGTCTATATTTCTGAGATGAGGTATTCTGTACAGTATTTACATTAGTCGGACTATTGTCCTCATCTTTGTCGCCATATTTATCACAACGTTTCAGCCGTTGTACGCTCCAGCCTTCTTCAGGTGGTTGGAATTTCGAACTGAACCCTTTATTTCGATCACTAGGGTAGACTGTTCTAGTTCCACGTGCCATGTTTGACGGATGTCAGTTATCAGTTATCTCCTGCTAATTTTCCCTCTGAAAGTTCTCCACTGCCTTAACCAGGTATTGAACTCACCTTCTTTGGGTCTGTCACTGGATCTAACCAACGCCTTTATCCACTGTGCCATGTGTCCAACCACCTGAAGAAGGCCGGAGTGTACAACGGCCGAAACGTTGTGACAAATATGGCGACAAAGATGAGGACAATAGTCCGACTAATGTAAATACTGTATAAATAGAGGAATACCATCGATAACTTCTGACGACTAAACAGTTAAAATATTTTCAGCTAAAAATGCTACAAATGGACACAAAAAGTCTGTTTTGTTGTTGATTAGATTTTCTTTCAACTTTGTATAATTAATCTTATCTAATTTTAAAAAAACATTCATTTCATTATCAATTTGATTTTGAGCAGTATGGGAGGTTTTTTTGATATCCCTTTGTACAACAGAGAATGTATGTATTTGATTCTTTAGCATAACTGGCAATACAGATGGTGGATTTTTGGAGTAGATTTTTCCATGAACCTGTATGGTATCAAAATTTGGAGGCCAATGTAGTTCACAAATAATTGTATTGTTTGTAACATTCAGATTGGAATTTGAAACCGATTTTCTCCATTGCTCTCTCTCATCTTTGTCTTTTGGAAAATGATAAACTGATATTTTTTTCATCATACACAGTTTTGTCTTGCTGACTTCTGTAATTTATTTTGCAAGCAATGACACAACATATCCGGGCATTGCTGGAAACTGGGTAATATCTGAAATGATAGATTAAGCTTCTTAAGCACAATTATTTCTTTTACCACTTTAATTTAAGAGTAACTTTTCAAGCCAAATTAATTATACTCTTAATCCCAACTTTTACCTTCTCCCTATGCCAATAAGTTAAAAACATAAATTTTAGAGGGTTGCCTTAAAACTGCAAATCCACTTTATAAATTGATTTTTTTCTTTTTTTTTTGTGGGGGGGGATTGGCTATGAGGTTTGCAAAATATTACATAATCTTTTATTTAATTATCTAGTTAATTAAGTATCTGAATTTCTGGCACTTGTCAACAAGATCATCTATTAAAAAAATTAAAATAACTTTGTGACCATTGACAAAATGGCATTTTATTTAATTTTACAAATGTCATAGTAAAAAACAGAACTATAAAAAACAAAAATATCTTCTGAAAACTTAAACCTTTTATGGAACAAGCAAAGTGCTTTTGTTTTTTTTGTTTTTTTTAGAAGAACCTTAATAAACTTTAAGTAAAAAATGTTAAATAAGAAGCTTAAAATTCAAAGTAACAAAACCAAGATTCCTAAATACCATTTTACCATAGTGAATTACAGACCAAAAAAGTTTGTTTTTACAATCTACATAAAAAATAATATGGCAACTCAAAATAAAATAAGTTAATCTTGCTTCAATTAAATAAGATAAATGATATTCCAAATGTAAGGAAAAATTTCTTTGAATTTCTTTAGCCAACAACACTGTGGAGTAGCTAGCTCAAACTCAAACTAAAATGTCCTGCTACTTTGAAACCGGACTCCAGTTCTCTCCCGTTTCTACATTATGACTTGGCCGCCTAATATAGAATGCCATGATGATCCTCTGCGAAAATTTGTTTTTTTTTTTCATTCTAATGGCATATTTTATGGTTATGTAACGCCAAAAAGATTTTTTTTTAAATATATGGTTTTTAATCGATCCTTTGGGCTATTGATCCCATCATTCTCCAGTGATACCTCTAGAATGGAGTTATTTAG